GCTGGCTGGGGAATTCTGGAAGTTGAAGTCCACTCATCTTCAAGTGGCCAAGTTTGGACAACACTGCCTTACCTAAACAGAGAAACAGAATGGCCAAGGGCAAAAAAGCACTGGGAGTTTGACCACTTGCGACTTGCTGCCAGCTTCCCCACTGACTTTGGTAGCGGAAAGCTGGCAGGGAGGATCAGAAATCCATCCTTCCTTCCTTCCTTCCTTCCTTCCTTCCTTCCTTCCTCCCTCCCTCCCTCCCACATATTCATTGGTGTTTTGGGCAACCCAAGGGGAAGAAAGTTCAACAGCAATTGCAGAAAAACTCCCCAGCTTGCTTCCTGGCCTGATGGAGCACAACATCATCATCATCATTTTTTGGAAATCAAAGGAGCCCATACCTGTAGAAAGGGTGGCCTTTTATGTTCGGTCCCACCACCTCCATGCTACTGGTGTAAATCAGGTATTGGGTTCCTTGCGTGACACAGGCCTCGATTACGTTCTTGGTTCCTATAGCAAAAGAGGGAAGGAGCAGGGGACAAGTTGAGGCAGAGAAGAAACGATGCAAGACATGGCAGTCAGCAACAGTCCTCACATGCTGGAAATGCCAGGACTGAAAAGGGGGGCATGGAATCTGTGGGGCTTTCATTCTGTAGGAACCAATCGCTTTTGCGCCTCATATTCCCACGTGAACCCAGAGGCAATGAGGGCCTCTCGCTTCTGCACATCTCCGAAAGTTGCAATGCAAAAAAGGGTGCAAATAAACATGTACGGCCTTTCGTGACTGAACACAATTATGCCCACACGTGCATGTGAGTTTCCACAAGGAATATTAAACATGATTTGCAAAGCAAGGCGAAAATAAGGCAGAACCAGTTTGCAAGCTTTATCAAAAGAACGACGCTGCCTGCTCTGCAGGATCACACAATCTATAATTGCATGACTCCTCCTTTGCAGCAGAGATCCTGAAAAGAAATAATTGGGGAAAGTCAAAGTTACTTTGTAAAAGCCAGGACAACCTTGGCCTTGCTCAAGTAGGCTTTCTTTGCAAATGAAGCCATTTTGGCTTGTACTGGACATTGCTTACGAATGATTCAGCTAGCTGGAAGACGTGTTACTATAATTCAAGATATGCGCTCCCTGAGAGTGGGTGCATGCCCCGCCATAGCCCAGGGCCTGGGGCAAGAGACAGGCCTTCAGGGCTGCCTGGAAGGACAGCAGGGTCAGCATGAGAATTTCCCCCTTTTGTTGCATGAAATACCACAACCGCACAGCGAGGTGCAAGCTATCTGATGGGCCGTGGGTCTTCCTGGACTGCAGATGTGAATGGTAACAGGAAAAGATTTGGGAAGGGTATAGTGGCAAAACACATTTCCCAAGTTCACAGCCCACAAGAAGCCTGAACGTAGGACTTCCAGAAGGCCCTTTGGGGAGAGCTGTGGGGCAGAGAGGCTGTATTCACCCCATGACACATATCCATGGTGAGTTCGGTTGCAGAAAACAACAGCTGCCTTTCCAATTTGGCAACATAATGATAACCTGATCCAGCCTAACCCCCAGAAGCTGAAGGGAGAAGAGAGATAATAATAGGACGTGGTCAGATTGCACAGCCAGTGAATGAGAAAAGCTGCCAGGAGTTCGTATAATCCCTTCTCATTCTAGCCCTGATCCTGCTCTTTCAGGGAAAAACATATCCCATGTTAAACTGATCATTTATGTCTTAGGTCAGTTATCTTTTTTTAGGTCTTTTTCCTCCTCCAAACTACTAATTCTGTGGGCATCGCTGTATGCTATTTCAGTACATTCTTTTGACTAGAATCATTTTGAAAAAACTATCTTAGTCAATGCAAGGATAGCATTGTAATATACCAAGAGACTGGACCTTGGTCTGCTCAGTCTAATTTATGTACTGGGTTCCCACAAGCAAATTGTCAGTGTCAGAGAAAACTGGTGTGGGTCCTGGGTGCTGTGACCATAAACCAGCCATACCAGTTGGGTTTGCAGGTCACAGCTAGAGTGGTTGGCTGGTTTATGGTTCAGGGTGTCATGAGAAGGCAGCCAACAGAGGTTGCAGCACCCAGGAGACCCCACACTCTTTCTAGCGTCTATGGCAGTGTTTCTCAACCTTAGCAAATTGAAAATGTATGGAGTTCAACTCCCACAAAACTCCATCCCCCCTCGGGGGGTGGGGGGGGCTTGGG